GGTTTGAAAAGTTCGTTTTCACGAATCTCCTCCGCGACTTCGTGGGGTGAAACGAAATATACCTTTCAATTTCCTTCACGTTAAAAACAAAGAGAGAAAAATGAAAAGGAAAAGGAAAAAAAGAAGAGGAGGAACACCGCAACGTGGTCTTCGCAATTTCGTATCCGCATATCCGGCGGAACGTTTTTCAAAATTTCTGTCACGCGTCTACCTCCTTCCCCTCCCCTCCCCCCTTTTTTTTCTCTCTCGTATGTGCGACGAGTACCGGCAGTGTTACAAATCCCGTAATAAACGACAAATCCTGCGGCGAATTCACGTTGAAAACACACGGCACGAAAGATTTGAAATGATGGTCTGACAAACGTTGTAAGTTATGATCGTGTTGTGCAACTCGTAAATCAATCGCTTCTTTTCACAAATAACTCTACAGCTCGAGCAATCTACAGTTTTTTTTTTTTTTTTTTGTTGCAATGGAAGATTGTCAAAAGTCTATGACTGCTTTGCAGTGAAAGCTTTATGCACGAGAATCTAGAATAATATTTGATTTTGCACGCAAGAAAATGAGATTGGAGGGTAAGATTTGCTTTGATTTCAAGCTTTCTTTAAAAAGTTATACTCATATCCAGCTTTACATTCATAATAATGGTCGCTTTGATTCTCGCTTTTTTACCAGTTGCATGACCACGCGCCGACCTATTTCACTCGTTACGTTAAAGCCCTTTTGCACTCTATTTGTTTGACTATGCGGTGACCTATTCTACTTGTTTGATCAAGCAACACGTTATTCGTACTCGCTTATAAAAGACTATCTATCAAATCCAACATGGCCTATATCCCGCGAAATGTATGCGCACTGCTAATGCGACATCCATTTCTACAATTCAATTTTCATTCGAGTTTTATTTAAGATCGGCGAGAAACGAAAAATCTCGCCGCTGATAAACAGATGCGGCGAATGAACGTGGCGAATTTTCTGGATTCATTTGCAAAGCACTTTCGCGAAGTTTTATTTCCCCCGCGCTGACAAATGTAACGTGACAAGGCTCACGTCCGCGACAATCTTTGTAAACTCATATAGATAGTTTGTTGCTCAAGAGACGCTAAAAACCTTATATGCTTGCTTGATGTTCACATTTGCAGGTTGCAAATAACGCAATTAATTGCAAGGAAGATAGTGCGACCGAAACTCGGGAATAATTCCGGATTGAAAATTTAACGCGTTGCAAAAGGTAGTGGCGCTGGCAGGTACAAATACATAATGCAAAACAAAGTACGGAGGAAGATGCGCGGTACAACTGGAACGAAAATCTACAACTTGATCTACAGCTTGCGAATTTCCCCGCGTTCCGATTCATTTGACAAAGCGAAAGTTTAAAATTACGTGTTAAAATTACATCGACGCAGGAGACACGTAACTGAAGTCATTCGTTTTCCCATAACTTTCGTTATTGGCTGTTGTTCCACGATTTTAATTGTAAAAATTATGGGACGAGAAATGTTTCAACGGAACGCGTTGGAAAAAAGGCCATATTTTTAAATTTCACGAAGTGAATTCCCATTTCCATTTGTGTCCCACATTTTTCTTCAATCTGGCACGAGATTTATTAAAACTTCGGTGCTTAATAAAACTGAATATTCCCGTGCGGTTGAAACGTAACCTCCGCTTCGATAAAAATTTCTGTACGTTAATGGACACGTTTGCAAACAATTGCAATTGCAGTTACTCGTACAACGGTATTATTATAACACAGAGCAGTAATTTGCATTAATTCCACGCTTAATTATATCATTGCTCTAACCCTTCTTATTAAATCACACATTCCCCTCGAAAAATTATTTATTCTAATTCGTTCGCACTTAATTCTCAATAAAATAGTATCATAATATAAACACAAATTCAGTTTGGTCCTCTCAACTTCTTACACATTGTTTCATTTATTAATAAACACGTGTGTTGTTTTATTATAGTAAGACACGTGTATGACTTTACTATATCTTTGAGACTTAAATTAATATTATCGTTGGAGGATTATTTTATTGCTAATAAAAATACACTACGGAGTAAGTGTACACTAGATCATTACATTTTACATCTCACATTACACATTCTACATGATCTGTCCCGCCTTCAATGCTTCATTTTCTACATTTAATATTCAAAAATATCCACATTATACGATCTCTATAACACTTTTTTCATACTGCAACATTTAATGTACAGCTTACTCTTATTTCATTTTCATATTCTTTACCTCGACACTTTCATTTTACGTTACATACTTCATATTTCCTATGTTATGTCTCATACCGTACACCCAATATCACTAACGTTCATTTTATATCACTAATCCATATCTTATCCTAGCTACCATATTGCTTCAACGCCCGATAAGGATATATTTTAACTTCCCTAATCCCACATTTCATATCATTCAGTATTTTCTGAAAATATCTTCTATCTGTTATTTCAACAGCACATAATATATTTATCTCACGTGTCACATATGTCTTTCATATTCCACGCTCAGTATCGGGAAATCATTTCTTTCGTCTTAACTTGCATGACAATAAATCTCAATTCCACATCACATTTGTACTACAAATTCTACACCACGTCTTATATTTCCCATTGTCTTCATTTTGCGGGACAAACATCCGGAATTAACTCTGAGGGTCTTATGAGAGATTTGTGGACTACGAATTTCATTTTGTGGCATAAATATTTTCAGAGGTGCCCAGAAATTAGCTCTGAGATGCTCATAAATTAATTTCATTGATTTTCTGGGAAATTTGTGGGCTACGAAATTTATTTTGTAAATGTTATATTTTATGAACATTTTCTGTTCTTCTCTTCTATCTATCTTCAAACTGGATAAGGAAATAGGAAATGCGAGCTAAATTTGAAATATTGGTATTGAATCATATGTATTCAATATACAAACAAGAGTTATACAGGATGATATAAGTATGAGAGATGTGAGAATAAGATATGAGGAGTGATATGTTGAAAATGAAGATGTGATATGCAGAATGTTTAATGTGGTGTGTATGACATAGATTATGGGATACGATATGACATGTAAGTCTTAGGATGTGGAATAGAATATGGGATGTAAGATGTGAAATGTGAAATGTGAAAGGTAAGGTATAGCGAAGGAATAGAAAGTGTAAAATGCAAAATTTTGGTTATGCGCTAAGAAAAATGTAAGATATGAGATGTGGAAATGATTTACGAATTATAGGAATTAGAAAAGAAGATATAATTTAGAGACAATAAATATCAAATGTGGAATGTGTATCGTTGAATATAAATAATGAGATGCAAACTGTGGACTACAACGTATTAAATATAGAGAATAAACAGACGGATTGAATTATAGAAACTAGAATAAAAAAATATAGATGGATGGATATACTAAAATCTAGGATACGCTTTTATAAGTGCGATATTTTTGTGAAAGTCGATAAATTGCAACATAAAAATAATACATATAGACTAGAGAGAAATATTGTATAAATATTTATATAAATGAAAGGAATTCTTACAAGGAACAAGCTATGACTGCAAGAAATAAAAATCGTGTAATTTAAAAAAGACAGAAAGACAGAAAGTTGTTTAAAATTTCATCTCGGATTGAATTATAGAAATTAGGACAAAAAATATAGACTGATGGATATACTAAAATGTAGAATATGCATTGCAAGATAAAAATGATACGTATAGACTAGAGAGAAATATTGCACAAATATTTATATGAATGAAAGGAATTCTTACTCGGAACAAGCTACGATTGCAAGAAATAAAAGTCATGTAATTTAAAAAAGATAGAAAGACAGAAAGTTGTTTAAAATTTCATCTCAAGATTGAATTATAGAAATTAAGACAAAAAATATAGACTGATGGATATACTAAAATGTAAAATATGCATTGCAAGATAAAAATGATACGTATAGACTAGAGAGAAATATTGTACAAATATTTATATAAATGAAAGGAATTCTTACTTGAACAAACGACTGTAAGAAATAAAAACCGTGTAATTTAAAAAAAAAAAGAACAGAAAGACAGAAAGTTGTTTAAAATTTCATCTCAAGATTGAATTATAGAAATTAAGATAAAACAATATACACTGATGGATATACTAAAATATGCATTGCAAGATAAAAATGATACGTATAGACTAGAGAGAAATATTGCACAAATATTTATATAAATGAAAGGAATTCTTACAAGGAACAAGCTACGACTGCAAGAAATAAATATTGTGTAATTTAAAAAAGACAGAAAGACAGAGAGTTGTTAAAAATTTCATCTCAATGAATTTGCCTCTGAATGAGTTTTTATAAATTCAGATATCAAACTAGAAATATTAGGCCTTTGGAAAATTTCTCGGCCAGTTCGTCAGCGACGAGAACACGACTCTTTGATAAGAGAATGCGCGACGCGTGGGATGCTGGGAAGAGGGGTTGATGCGGTTCAAGCCGGCGCCCTCGCTTCGCGAGTTTCTTCAGTGTACGCGCGTTGCTACATTCGGCTGGACCCTAGCTCGATCCTTCCCCGAGGCTCGTGTTTTAGTCTCGCGATCGTTTCCTACGTACGCCAAATAAAATCCCCTCGATCGAATTTCCTCCTTCGTCCCTCGCTCGTATATCTCGTCGTTCGAATCTTTCCTTCGTTCTCCTCTTCCGTTGAGACTGGAACGAAACAAACGGGAGAATTAACAACTGGATATTATTTCTGCGTCCGAGATATGCAAATTTGTAATGGATCACGATGTTTCGCCAAGTGGGAGAGTACGATTGCACGTCGATGGCGATAAATCTAGAATAATCGTGACTCGTTAATCTCCGTGGTATTATCCTCGGAGGAAAGATCGGCGATCCCCGCTGCCGGAAAAGTTTCCAAAGTACTTTTTGACGTCGAAGCTTGGCTACCGTTAACCAACAACATCGATCATCCAAAACTGCCCGACAACTGCTCGAGCTGTTCCTGCAACAAAGTGTCGTAATTAGAAAGAAAGGGAGCAAAAGGGACGAGAGACGCGGGATGAGAAGTAAATTCGCGAAGGGCCGCGGCTATCTGGTGGGAAATCTATATCGGTGGGAGGATTACTCGTTCGATTGAAAACGAACGAGAGTGACAGCTACATTACCGCGAGTGATCGAGCGAACAATGCACTTTATCGCGAAATTTCCGCGCGTAGGACCGTCCGACGAGTGTTGACGTGTAGAGAGACTGGAAAAGAGACGTTCTGACTGGCGAGTGACGCGATGGAAGAACAGCTGCCGACGTGTTGCAAGAAAATCGTCCGAGGGAGACAGTGTTTGAACTAAAAAGGTGAGTGGCGTTGATCCTTACTCCATCCAGAACGCCGTGTGTCTATCCTCGCGATTCTATCGAGTTCTTTAACGACTATTCTCTTGTTTCGAACGATCTCCGATCCAGAATCCTAATTTCTGAACAACAGAACAACTAGGGGAAGCACAGAATATGTTGCAAATTTTCTTTTTTTTTTTTTCGTCTCGCCGAGAGATTCCCAGTTGACCTTTAAACTTCCGCAATTTTCTTCGCCGTGACAGTCCTCGTCTTTTTTTAAACTTGCCCCCGTTTCCTTGTTTCCTTCTTTTCTTCCGTTTCCAGAGTTCTCGAGAGAATTAATTAGCGGGCAGGAAAATAATTGGAGGCCGCTCGCGCTTCGCGGGTTTCAAGTTCGCGCGCCTGCGAGGTATGCTGCCAAGGCGCGACGTTCGTCGATCGTAAAAATGGAAATGCGAAGGAAGACTCGACGGTCCAGTTGTTTGCTCGCAACGCTTTACCTCGTTACGCGAAAAATTCATTCTTGAATGCTCTTCAGGCACACTCGATTAGTCACGCTTGTTTCGTTAATGCACTCTTCGTTTCGCTTCGATTGTACGCGCGTGCGCCAAAAAGGAAAGAAGAAGAAAAAAAAAGGAGAATAATGTAAAATATATTTAGAATTGTTTGACAGTTCTTTTTTTTTTTTTCTTCATTTTGGCAAATAGGAGGACAGTTATTAAATGCGAATAAGCTGTCGCATGGGCGAAATTTTCCTATTATCCTTTGATACGCAATTTAGCCTGGGCTAAATGGCGTCATCGCAACAGCGATGATTGCCTCGCCTAATTGCACTGCATTTTTGAATAGAATTCCGTCCTTTGAGACTTTACGAACAATCAGATAGCTGGAATTCAATTTCGCGCACACTGCGTTCGTATAAGCTTGTTAATATGTTACAATTATTGCGTCGTGCTTTTTCGCTAAATATTAGTATTAATGTGTATTGATTTAAACGGCGTTTTCGCACGCGACTGCTGCTCTATGAATATTACGCGACAAATTTTCGACAGATTTAGCAGAGGATTTACTTACACTCTGTTTTCGATAGAGGCTAGAAAGGTTAAAAATTTTATCGAAGAATGAAAGACACGCAGCGAAGAGCACAATTGTTTCAACGATACTGGAAAATTGTCGATGATTGGAAGTGATATAATTTTGTAAAAAAAAAAAGGACTATAAAACGATCAGCTTGATCTCATTTTAAAGGCCCTACTTTGTCTTTACTTTGATAGTCGTGACTTTGTTTTTCTCGAAGCTGATTTTACATCGTGTAACACCTAGCAAGAGTATCTTCTTCTTCTCGAAAATTGTGAAAACTCAAACTCGAATAAAAATATTAAAAAAATATTTTCCACAATTAAATCTATCATGGTTTTGAAGATTGAAATCTTCTTTTTACAATGATTCCTTAAAACTCGCTGTACGATTTATTTTCCGCCATTTTATAACACTTTGAACATTAGAATCAACGTAGATGACCTGCAATTTCTTGAATTTTTAGTATTCAACGTTTAATAAAATTCTGAAAAGGGGAGACTTTAATTTGTTACAAATGAGAGGCTTCAATTTTCAAAATGATGGTGAACGTAGTTGCGAGAAAATTTTTTTTAATATCTTCACTCGTTTGAAGTTTGCAATTTTGAATGCTTGCAATTTTCCAGGAAAGAAGTATCCTCACTTTCCTAAACGCTACACGATGTCAAATCATCTTCGAGAGAAATAAACTCACGAGCGCCAAAGCAGAAGAAAACAAGACCAATACGATCACTCTTTACAAAGTTATATCAGTTCAAATTATCGAGAACTCTTCACTTTCAGTGACATTTTCTCACTGTACTGATGAAATTAATTCCACTGAAATTTTTATGAAATTATTCCAGAATTGCAAAGTTTTTTTTTTAACAAGAGATTGATCAACTCTCTCGTCGAAGAAACGAAGTTCAATTACACTCAGGATTCGCTCAGCTCGATCGTCCGTCAAATGAACGGGGAAACGCTCGCGAGGACAAGCGTGTTTTCCCAGGAGGGACGCGAAACGGCGCGTGTTCGGTTCACCGGCACACGGAAATTGGGGATGTCCGAAATCAATGAAATCGTTGAACCAAACGCCCGGACCCGAGGCTACCATTAATTTCGACTTATTGATCGTTCGTCCACTCCACTACAAGCCACAAAAACTCTGTCTTTTTCGCTGTTGTAAAGCCCAAGTCGACTCACTCGGTCAGTCGATCGAGTTTTCGCAAACTCGAAGCAGAGAAATTTCTGAAACAACTTCACTCGCAACAATACGAGAAGAAAACTGCGAGAACAGTTCAAAATAATTACTTTTTGCAAAGAAAAAAAGTCGAAATCTCGTCGAAAGATAGATCGTTGGTTCTTGCGGGCGGGGACAAGTACAATATTGCCACCAAGTGTTAGCGTTGTTATAATTGGGTTAGACGACGAGTCGTTCGAGTGAACAGTTTGAAACAATCGCCAGATTGTCACGGTAAATCCTCGGCAGAGCCGGTTCACTGTGGCGCGTTTACAATTCAACAAAGGCCTGGCTGACGAGCTGGCCTGGTTGAATTTCTACCATAAATCTATGTTTAACGTCTCCAGGTAAATTTACATTGTCAGATGATTCGACAAATCGGATGGTTAACGTTAAATTCGCTGAGTTGCTGTCGAGCGAATGGAAATTGTCACTAAAATGCACAGTCTACATCATGGGCCAGGAATATGGTGTTCCAATTGGTTTATTCCACGCTAGTCCGCCGATTAGGCGACGCAGCTCGCAGATTTGTGGACGGACGAGCGTAAAGTCGGATTAAAATTTAAACCTGTAGAATTGCAGACAGTGGTTCGCCTACGCTTCGGTGACGACTGCTATATTATTGATATTATTGAACGAGGCTTGGAAAATCAAAGATAGATTTTACTCTGTTCGAGTTCTACTGTTAGTCTGCTTTCAACTTCGTTTGGATTTTGTTATTTTATATTCTGTAGATATAGGGGAGCGTTGGTACAGAGGAGCATGAGTGTGAATGAAAATTGTTGACCATTTAAATTGATATAATTTCGTGAAAGGAGATCTACGTGAAGCGAAGCTTTCATCTTTGACAATCGTAAGTTCGTTTTTCTCCGAAATGATTTTACGTCACATACTGGGTGGAAAAGTAACTTTTTTTTTTAAAAAAGTGCAAACATTCAAATGTAATATAAAAGTATTAAAAAAATTTTCGTAAGACATGACCATCGTTTCGAAGATTCAAATCTTCTCTTTGTAAAGACCTGTTGAAATTCGCAATTTGTTGATTTTTTCACGATTTTATTAAAAATCCAAGAAATTCTAACATTTCAAGTCATCTGACAATAAAATAGCGAGAAAAGATCGCACAGCAAGTTTTAAAAGGAGATTTCAATCTTCAAGACTATGGTAGATTTAGCCACGAAAAGGATTTTTTAACATTTCCTCGCGAGTTTGAATTTTCACAATTTCCAACTTGTAAAAAGACAGTTTTCATATTGTAGAAGCCTCGCGCTTCAAAATGAGACAAAGTCTTTCTCAGAAATTTCAAAATTTCAAACATTCACAGATACAAATCTTTCTCAAAGATTGCCGAACCGCCTCGCTGACTCAATAATATGAATATTTCGCGAAACAACGACCCAATAACATTTGTAATGAAAAATGTAAACGTAAGAATGAGCCGACGCCTGCAATTATCAGTTTCATAACAATGCAATTCGGGCATTACGCGTGCATAATGCGGCAGCATTTCCATAAATAATAGATAGCTGGCGGCATAAACAGGCCTGGTGTTTATATATTATGCGCAGCATGCATGCACGGATAATACCACGTGAGGAGGCACGAGCTTAGACGGCGCGCGTCTTCGGAAGTGAATTTGGTTAAGTAACATACTTTCGTTAGCGTCGCGCGGAATTGATGAGCTTCCATGCGACTGCTTAATAAACCGGAGCACCACGGTAAATATACACAAAGTGCTCAGACGCAAAATTATTCAAACCGCGAACGCTGGATCGCGTAATGAAATTTCAGAGCTCGCGGTAAATCTGTCGCTGTGATTTTGCGAGGGGAAATGCGCCTCGGAGGATACCTCTGATATTAATTTGATTAATTTAGTTTCAATTCTTTTTATCGTCTCGTCTTTCACAATATTTGAAATATTTTCTTCGTCTATACCAGTTGATACCAATTTCTCTTCACTTGCCATTTTTAATATGCATTGAGCAAGCGAGTCGTCCTCTTTAAATTATTATACTCCTCTGCAAATTAGTAGCTGATCGAAAGAAAAAAAAAAAAGAAGAAGAGGAACGAGGAAACTCGATCGATCCTCGGTAACTGCTTAACGAAAAGGTCCAAACAAAATGCTGCTGTGCTTCACTTGTGCAACAACGTTCGGCGTTTCTGCTTAACTGGATTTAACAATCGCCAGTCGTAATTAATATTCCAAGCTCGTAAATAAAGCAGTCGGAAAATCGCTCGAAATTATTACCCTTCAACTCCTCGGCTCTGGTAAAAAGAAATTCTGGAACGTCGTAGGAAATTCATATTTTATTTAAAAATGAATAAAAATTTATTCGTTGAGATATTCAGAACCAGTTCGAAGACTGAATTGCAGGACAAGATGCAAAAGATTTGAGTACGTAGTCCTCGCAGATTGTTGTAATAAACTTGCCAAAATGATGAATATTTAACAAATGACGACTATTTAAACACTTCTTTGATGTATCAAATATAGTTTCCCAGCCTCTTCTCAGATTTGTTAACTTCCCGGTGTATAATATATGATATAATAATATAGTCATACCAGTCGTGTTTTACTATGAACCGTACCGTTGGAATTTCGAATTTAATTGCTCGTACGCAATATAATAACACAGGCACAAATGGTTCGATATAACCGCAAAGTGCTCCTATACTTTCCGCATGCGTAAGAATGAACCGCGTTTCTTGTTGCTGGGAGATTACA